TGGTCGAGTATTACCATCGTACTTCTCTGTGACCGTATACGGAGAAATATGATCGTATACGAGGAAATACAGAGTGAAACGGGAATCGTATACGGACTCCGTCAACAAGGATCGTAAACAACCGTTTTCTTCTCCATTTATCGCCGTATTTCTCCGTATACGACACGGAGATATACGATCGTAATACTGAACCATGTAAATAATCGTATTTCTCCGTATACGGTCGTTTACGATCGTGCCTGTTCGACTTGGGTACTAATAAATTGCATCTTGGACGAGCTTTCATTCGATGTAAGATTTATTTACTATACTTGAACCTATAGCGATATCCCCTGGAAAAATATTATTTCCAACCTAGTATATAAATCTCAGAGATTCAGTGGAGGCATTCAAATTTACTATGCATTTTCATCCTCGCTAGAAAGTAAATTACTAACCAAGCGTCGCCTTCGATGCTGTTGATGATAAGATCGTAGTACTTGCTGTGCTAGTTGAGAACGTCTATGAAAAGGGAATTACGCTACAGGATGGTAGAGTAAAGTCATCCAACTTGTATGGGAATTGTTGTAAATCCAAGCAGTTGTGAAATTTCTGATTCGGCTTGTTGAGCAGCTTCGTGCAGCTCCGCGAGAGCTTCCGATACTCGCGTTTCTATAACTGCTTGGATCTCTCGTCAGCCGAGTTAACGTCTTTTGTTAGTTCATTTATCATTAGCACGTCAATGGTACTCATTGCAATCTGTTTGCAAGTAACACTGATATACCTTAATTTCATATGTATGACTTACTTCGGGATGTCCAGTCAAGACCACATCCGCTATGCATTCATCCATAATACCTTGCATGGCATCATTCGTATTGAAATTTTGCTTCTGACTAACCTGGCGCCTTGTATTTAGATACTTCTCTGTATACACCTCACAGATTACTCGAGCTTGAGTGCTGTTAAGGGTTCGTCCCAGCGACCAGTTCTCAATATAGTTTCAGTCTGATTTCCTGTCACATTTTACTTTGCAATTATTATCGCCCAACGTGCAAATTCCAGTCGACTTCTCGGCCAAGTCCTTCCTTTGCCATGTATGAATATTATAGTGGTGAACTACAGCATTTGTTTCGGTCTGCAGTTGAGAAATAAAAAAGCATAAAAATCCTGATAACCAATGTCAATTGAAAAGCAATCAGATTGATTGCGTTTTGCGTTTTCTGACGCAGAAGTATCGTCCGTTGTAAACCAGAGTCCTGCAACATATTTGGGGTAACTCGTGAACGGAAAGGTTAGCAAATCGCAACTGTCTCGCGTTTTAGGGTGGATCAGATACTGTTCCACTACAATAAAGTTTCTCAACATACTCTCGACGGGATTAAAGCATGCCACTCAACGGTACCGTTTTAAACATGATATATAGCGTGCCTTAGAAGTCCGGCCGAACAATAAAAATAAAAATAGTACTCCAGCAATTCAAACGATTTACATTTTTTGTGAAACACGATCTAAAACTTGTGTTGAAGTCTATAGGAGCAGAAATTGGGACCCCCTTCCTCCCACAAACGTGACAGACACTAAGGCAAACAGAATAGACCGTAGCAGAAATTCTATTAACTGTCACAGACAGTGGCAAACACCTTGGCAACATCTCTTCACCGTCACAGACCACGACATGCATCACCATGAGATCAAAGTTGACTGAGGGTTTAGTATGATAGTTATTCTTTATCTTTATTTTGCACTCGCTAGAGTATGTTGCGATTAATATCTTTCACCAGCGACATTAATATACTGTACGTAGGAATTTATAAGCCAAAACATTCAGCGATTAATCCCCTTCTTTACAATAACTTCAGCTTCATTGTGCTTCACATTTTAATTCCCTGGAATTGAATTAGCAGTGTTTTTTTTTCATGTTCTCTTATATTCGTTGAAATTATATCCAATATAGGCTATTTCCATGGGATCTCAAACACGCGTACAAAAGTGATCACCAATTTTGATGAAACTTTTCATGCTTGTAGGGCTCTAAATTCTAAGCACTTTAGTAAAAGAAAGTTCAGAATAGGGGTGTGGGTGTGGATGCTTCATCAATAGACTAACAACCGCAGCCACACCCACACTTTAAGTCGCTCAAACAAGGACGTCCTGCACGCAGTCTGTAAGGACGACGCATTGCATTACGTACTTTATCAGCAGAAAAATGAAATTGCATAGGAATAATGACATATTCTGTAGGAAAAATGATAGGGAAAAATGAAAAAATGATCTAAGCTATGAAAAAATCTTTACGTCAACAATTAGGTATATCGATACTCTATCAGCGAAGAAAAAAACGTCCATAGCAATAACACTAGTTTTTATTGGAAAAATCGATTTGAAATATGAAAGAAGGGGTATTAAGAAAAAGTAATGCACACTAATGTTAGACATAAATAAAGATTCACTAGCTAAATAATGAAAACCCGTAGGAATAGCAGTAGTTTGTGCAGAAAGAATCGGTTCGAGATGTGAAGAGATTACGGGTATTACTTTATTTTGATTTTGATTTATAATAAAGAATAAATATAAATAAAATCTTCATCTGTATAAGATAAAGATAAAAAAATTCTTTATATTTGAAAAATAAATATAAAAAACATCTTTTTATTGAAAAACTAAAGATAAATAAAATCTTTATAATTATAAAATAAAGATAAAGATTTGTTCTTATTTATCTTTATAATATAAAGGTACAATAAATAATAAAGAAATTTTGTTTTTCCATGAGAACCTAATCTTTTATTTTTATCGAATAGTTAACAAAAAGCTATGATATTATAAATGGAAATGAAATATACAGAAGGTTTTCTTGCATATATTTTCTCATGCATCAGATAAATTTTTTAATAATATCACATTTTGAAGTGATGCTGGTGATAAGAAAGAATATTGATTAACATATTCTGTTGTTATGCTAGGTATTGGTCTATGTACTTATCACAGAAAAAATCTTTCTTTATTCTTTATTTTCTCTTTATTTTTGAAAATAAAGAATTCGTTTATGTTTATCTTATAAATGTAAATATAAGTATTGTACTTATACAATTTATTTTTTAAAGTAAAGATAAAGTAATACCCTTAGAAGGGATGGCAATGGAGTTAGGCTGTCCTCTCGACCACTCTCAAGAGAAGGACACCTACTAACTGTCGACTTCCCTCTGCTACCCTCGTTCATGTTACAAAGAAGAGGTAGCCAGTATTTTTCTCTTCCTGCTCACATCCGCCGCTGTCATTGACTGCTCTGAAAAAAAAGGAGGCTTGCAGAACCTTTTAGGCCTCTAATAGGTTCTGCAAACCTCCTTTATTTTTTTCAGAGCGGGAAGCAACGCTCAAAAGCCAGTTTCTGAACTGACCCTCACCATGTTCTTGGAAAATATTCATTGGTTCGGGAGAATGATTACAATTTTGAAATGGGTATATCGATTCCCAGGTGAAAAACATGGAAGTCTTTGAGCATATGGACAACTCGTGAAAGCAGCCACGTGTATTTAATTCATCAATAGCTATTTCAATACTTGTCAGGTATTTATTCACATCGAGTATATTTTCAAGAGTAGTTATTCAAACTGCAACACTATTTAAAGATATTCTAGCGCTAGCCGATGAATTTTGCTAGCCATTTACATAAGTCTCTGCAATTTATTTTAACTAACTAATCGTTTTGAGAAAGCGGACTATAGAGGAGACGGGTAAAACTGGATGTAACTATCAATGATTCGCATCACTGGTTTGATTGGCAAAATATTAGATTTAGTAATATTGCTGATATTACGAAAGATTGAAAGTTAGCCGTATACAAATTATTATCGTTAGTAAAAGGATTTGAGAATCATTGGGAAAAAAAGAAATATACTTATTTCAAACAGTCAGCACCACAACAAGAAGAAAAAGAAAGTGCGAAACTCTTTTAGGAACGAGTCAGCTAGTAAGATTGTTTCAAGCATGAAAACATTTTTTTAATAGTTATAAACAATTGAACACTTATGGAGAACTATTTTAATACAAGAACGATAAATTAAACTATCTCTTTTGAAAAGGTACACTAATTATAGCTCTCATAAGACAAACGTTTTTCATGACGAAAAAAAGACTACCATTGACCAATTACAAAGCGAGGCATATTTATTTCTACCATCAACATTCGGTACCATCATAGGTCATCGTTTCTTATCAAAAAGAATAAACAAAGAAAAATTGAAGTCATATTACCTTCGATGAGGAACACCCAATCTCTCATTCCAGAAGCTTATGTAAGCCATAGCTTTATCTAAAGTTGAACCATAGTGGACTCGTTATAATTGCATAGACTGACGTTACCTTTTCTCTATTCAGACACGAAGCTGAATAAGAACCGGAATTGAAATTCAATTTTGGACTTGGACTCGAAATCCACCCGATCGGGTCTAGAACGATCTGTAGGATTCTACTCGTCGTCGATGAAGTGCAGAAAGTTGGAATTTCTTAACAACTCAGCATCATGGGAAGAAAAACATTTTACGCTTTTAACTTTTCGGATTGTTTCAGTAGCTGCAAGAGCTCTATATGGTAATGCAAAATGATTAAGAAAAAGTTGATTTACATAGCATTCTATTGTTCATCTCTTGTAGAAATAGCTCTTCGAAACTTATATTAATAAATTTTTATTTGGACTTTAATAGCACTTGACATTAGGTCTTTCGATAATGAGCGCATTAGTTTTTTTAATATTGCGTATAGAAGCTGTTTTTTTCTTTGATATTACAACTACTACATTTATATGCTTTACTTTTTATATAATTATCATCAAATATTTGTACAAACAAGATTTTATTCAATGTAATAAAAAAAACGATAATGCTTTGATAATTATTTAATAATTATATCATATACAAGGAAAAACAAACAGAAAAAATAGATGCATTAATGACAAAAATAGATTAAAAAAAATAGATAGAATTGGAATGTATGATTCAATAAGAAGCAGTGTAGTGTATCTACCAAGGTGCACATGGTGCTTCTTCATCACGACAATATTGAAAATAGGATTCCAATCGACCAGTTGCTGGTTCCATCAAAGCCGTATATACAGTCAACTAAAAAATATTGACATTGTCAAACTAAAATATTGACGAGAAAATATATTCTTTACTTTATTAAGCACTGGTCGTGAAGAAAAAACATTAAACAATGATTCGAAAGTAACTTGATTTCTTCCTTTACTTTCCATACATTCGATACATGGTGTTATACGATCATCAAAGAAAGGTGGTTTTTTCCAATTATCATAATTTGTTTCGATCAAAAACCATAAATTATCTTTACCTAATGGTTTAATATCATCTGAACTATTACGTGAGCGAGTAATAATAACTCCCTATAAACAAAAAAAATTAAGCGATCATGTCAATATTTGATGAAAGACAAACAAAAATATTTTCATACTTGTTTCGATTCTGGTCCAGCAAGAATATAATAGCATGGAGCTGTAAGTTTAACTTCAGTTAAATATTTAACAGCTTCATCGTAACTTTCTGATGTTGTTAACATGTCACGCATAGCAAATGTAACAAATGATTGTTTACGATTAATATTAAATATCCATTCAATTAAGCCAATATAGCCACCTTTAAAACCATAACGTTCATTCATCGATATACTAAAAATACCTGGTCTTACGCCTGTTATAACACCAATGTATCTAGAAAAAAAAAGAAGTTCAGTTCATTATAAATCAGATAAACAATAATAATTACCCAGCAAAGCTTGTTGTTCTGAAAAGAACTTGACCATTTTGAGTAAAATTTACTTGTGTAATCAATGGACGTAACTTTTCTGATAATGTCCATGTATTATTTAACATATCCCAACTAAAATATATCGATACATGAATAGAAATTAATATATATACATATATATATATTCTTTTTTTCCTTACCCCAATAAAAGTCCAAAGTCAAGATTTCGTCCATGAAGAATATTACCATATTGATCTTCTGCCACAATAGATGTGCATAATGTAAAAATTTCATAGAAAATATTGTACAAAACAATTTCACCTAAGAACAAGAAAAATCTGTATAAGTTTTCTCATTAACATGATTTTGAAAATCAACAATGCTCATATTTATTGAATAATGTTTTTCTTTTATCTTTATGATACTAACAAAACTATAGTATCTTACCCAATGGTATTCCAGTTGCTTGACTAATACCCTTCATTTCATCACCATACGGAGCTGGTAATGTATCAGCCATAGCCGGCTATCAAATATCGTTAATAGAAATGAAAAATTCATGAATATAGAATTTACCAGTTTAGTATCGACAAGACTGACTAGAAATTGTAGTTCAGGTGAAATTGAGAGAACAAATTGTTTGATATAATCAACCAAATCAATAATCTAATAAAGAAAGAGTTTATAATATTTTAATATAAAAGAAAAAAGAAAAGATAAACATTTGTTTACTTCAGATTTGTATATAGTTGCAATTTCTTGCCAACGTTCGATAGGTGGTGAATCTAAATTAACAATATGTGTTGGTACTACTCGATCTGGTTTTGGTGGCCATTGATCACTCAAACATTGTTTACCAAACTTAATAAACAGCAAAAAAGAAAATTATTAAAAAATCATTTTCATTATACACATATATATATACTATTCCTTGAATTGAAAAAATAACCAACAAAAATATAATTATACGGTATGTCATCATCTGAAGACGAAAAAGAAGCAACTGCGTGTGTGCGAATTTTTCAAACTGCTACTAAGAAATGAGATAAGATAAGCACGAAGAAGAAGAAGAACAAAACAAAACATATTAATAAAACCAAAAATAGTTTAATAACAAAAACCGAAAAAAAAATATTTTCAAGATAAAACATTTAAACGCGGTATATTTGTTGTTGATGATGATGATGATGAGGTTTCATTCTCTGTTGTATCTAATAATCCACTTGTTTGTTCAATGTTTTTATATTCTTCAATTAATTGATTAAGATTTTCACGTGCTTGTTCAAAATCACTCAATTCCATATGATCTGTATAATGATGTACATGTGCTTTACGACGATATAGTGTTGTAAAACGTTCTTTTAATTCAATAAAAGTTTCTTTTATACATGTATGATTAGCTAATGTTAACAAAGAATATGGTAAACCATTTGGTGGTACTATACATAAACCAATTTTCCATCCATCTTCATTCCATTTAACAAATTTCATATGTTTTAATTTAAGTAAATCAATATTACGACGTATATCAGACATTTGAATTGTTTTACTACGTAAAATCATTCCACAAGCTATATAAATACCATTAATTTGTGGTTGTACACGTAATGTTTGAAAATGTGGTGAGAGTGCATCACGAAATATCTGATTTATATTTCGTGGTATGGAAGAATTTGTTTTCGTTTTAAATGGTGCTGGTATTTGTGAACTAATTAAATAATGCATTCTTGGATAAGGTACAAGATTCATTGGAATTTCACTTAAATCAACATTTAATGGTCCATCAAAACGTGATGATGATGTTAAATTTAATATTAAATTAGCAACAATTGTATTCATTGAATCAAATGGACATCGACCGTCATCATTTTTTTTAGTTGAACTATTATCACAACGTGATACAATATCAATAAGGGAATCATTATCAACAGGCAGAACACAATCAGCATGTTCAGTTAATTCACGTGTAGCAAGAACAGAATTATATGGTGATGTTATAACATCATCATCTTTTGATGGATAAACTGGTGTTACAATACGACATACTTTTGGATACATTTCATCTAATAAAGATAAAATAAATGTACCAAGACCGCTACCTGTGCCACCACCCTATAAAAAAATTCTATCATTTAAGATGCTTTGTAATCATTTTCTATTTTCTTTTGTAGATTATTAAGGTGTTGGAGATTCAAAATTTGCGGAAAACGTTTTTTTTTGTCTTGAGTGGATAGAATTCGTCGAGTTACACCTACAAAAAGTTTTTTTTTTTTTTATGTATTTAAACGATGTTTTTCTGGTGAAGATTAAGAAAACTTGATTTAAAAAAATCAGCTAAGTCGATAAAAATTGAAAGATATAAAAACATCAAATCTCTGAATAGTGAGGAAATATAAGGACCGAAATTTGGTGAAATCTAATTTTAATTATTGAGCCTAAAATACGATGCATGTTTTTGTGCTGATTTTGGATATGATATTTGTTTCATTTAGAAATGAAGTTCTGATGGTCAGCATCATAGAATACAAATTCGTATGTATGGCGTTTTACTATCATATGGAAAGAATTGATTGTTTCAACAATCAAAAACGTTTGCATAATATTTTTTCTGGCAATATAATGAGTAAAGTCTTTGATTTTTTTAAACTAGTTTTTCTTATTTTCATTACACAAAAATATCATTTGAATGTGTCAAAAACAACAATTTTCGAAGTAACTCTGTCCATCCATGAAAAAAAAAAGCCAAAACAAAAAACTTTATGCTCAAAATTCGAATTTCCAATATCTCAAAAACTATTCAAACAATTATTCATCATTACATACACTCACCCTATTAGCTCACCATGGAATGAATCATCATAAAACTTTGTAATGAATCACATTGTTCAGCTTGTCGACGAATTTCATCACTTAAAACTTGTCGATATTTTTCTCCATAAAATCGATTTCCAACAGCCCAATTATTACCTGCTCCACTAACATCCCGAATAAATTGTTCACCATCAAATAAATCTCTTAAGGGACTCGCAAGTATTGAACGAAGTACACCTTCTTCCATATCAACAAGAACAGCTCGTGCTTTAAGTGTACGTATTGGTGATGGATATGATAAAGAAGTATTTTTATTCTCATCAACATTACGAAAAAATGCACTTAATGATGCATCATAAATGCATTTTTTTGGATTTGTTGAAGACATAAGTGAAGCATGTTCACGTAAAGCTAAATCCCAAAATCGACAACCAATTTGAGAACCACATTGACCAACTTGTACAACTATATTTTGTGCCATATTTACATATATATAAATAAAAAATAAAGCATTCTCTTTCTTCTAAAATATTAAAAAGAAAATACGCAAAATTATATCAATAGAAAGTTGAAATTATCTAAGAAAATCATCGAGATGATATTGTTCGTTTTTTTTTTCTCTTTACCTCAGTTTTATATTCTAACTAAAGTTTACACTCGGTTTTAGTTATCGTTGAACGCTATAGCAAAGAAGCGAAGAAAAAAAGAAATCGAGCAAAACAAAACCAAAAGAAAATATTTTATACATTTTATCAAAAGAAAAAAAGAAATATGCAAACATTTTTCATGTATTAGTAGACGTAGTTATAGTTATAGGTGAAATTATTGGATTTTTTTTTAGTTTAACATCTGGTTGTTGTCGTTGTAACATTTCTGCAGCAGCATGGTGAAAAACTGATTGACTAAACAAAAATCCACTAATATGTCCATAAGAAATATATCGAACAAGACAACCAGGCCATAAATCATTCATATCAGGTGTACCATGACGTAATACATATCCATCATTTTTACAAACAATGAACATTGCATTAGGTATATTTGATTGAACAGGACGAGAATAATTTTCTAATGATGTAAACTCATCCATTAGAAGACGCATCATATCTTTAACAGGATCAATAGCACTTAAACTTGAACTACTTGATTGTTTTCCTTCGCGTATATATTCATAAAATCCTTGATATGCTTTATTTTCATAGAATTGTTTTTTTAAAAGATCCCATGGAATTGTACGTGAAAGTACACCATCACAGAAAGCTGTTGAACTTGTTGACCAAGAAGCACATGATAAAAGAGAAAGTGGACCAGGCCAACTAAAATAATTATGAAAAATTCATATCTTCTTTTATAAAAACAAAAAATCATTTTTTTTCTATTTTACTTAGTAAATGCTAATGAAGCCATATGTCCACCTAGAGAAAAGCCATGTAGAAGTGTTGGTGTTAATTTCATTTTTTCACACCAATGAAGTAATGCAAGTGTTTCTAAGATAAGTGCACCACCCATAACTAATAAATCTGTAACATAAAAGAGTGATGAACGTGCTTGATGCTGTGGTCTTCTTAAACCATAATAAGGATTTTCAAGAATAATTGAACCAATACGATAATGTTTTAAAAGTGGATGTGCTGTCAGAAGTCTTCGCCGATTAAAACCTTGATCACCCGTTCCAGCATAACAGATACCTATTGGAATTGCATCACTACCAAAACGATGATCATGTGGTAAAACAAGTTGAAAATGAGCTGTAGCGACTTCAGTTGGAACCTATTGTGATATACAGAAAAAAAAGAAGAAAAAAGAAAAACCTCGAATCAATCAGACGAATAAATCGATCTATAATAAGTCTCACCACATGTGGCATATGATTAGCAAGTGGAGAACGAAATTTTGCATCAATATATTGTCGATCACCTTTTATTTCATGTTTAACAATTTCAACAGTATTTTGTTGTATACTCTCAGCTGGTACAAGTTTTAAACATTCATTTCTTATTGCAACTTTCTCACGACGAGATGCACAAAGTTCTTGTAAATGTAATGGATTACCCCAACCACGTATAAATGATTGAGATAAAATAAGACGACGAAAAAGGCTATCAAAATTGGTCATTTTTATCGTTTTATTATTAGAACTTTCATCTAGAAAAGCTTTGATCGATTTAGTAAGCTTTTTTTCTTCAATAGAAAAAACAAAAATTTTTTTTTGTCAATAGTTATAAACACGCGAATACAAGGAAACTGATTTTTTTTTTGTTTTGTTGTTTTTTTTCCTAGCAGATCTCACTGGTTTGATACAGACGAGACAAAAAAAACATTCTATTGACCAGAAGCTGAAATGTTTAATAACATTTGAGGACCATGTGGTAAATAAACGATATTTCGTGATTTAGATAATTGAGAAGCAATATCTTCAGCTGCTTCGATTCGTCGTAGTTCAATTAAACCTAAATTGAAATAATAAAAACAAGAACTGAGAGGAAGAAAAGCAGCTGAAAAGAAAAAGAAAAATACGAACCATCGCCAGCTTCACCTAAAGCTTTACCAATCAAATCAGCAGCACGAGCATCACCTTCAGCAGCAATAACATTTGCTTGACGAGTTTGTTCAGCCTATTGGTGATTTTTGTTTTTAATGATAAAAATCAATTTAATTTAAAACTTTTTTTATTTTAATTTACTTTTTCGACTAAAAATCGTTGTTTTTCTGCATCTTGTTGTGCAACTTGTTTCAATTCAACAGCACTAGTAAATTCGGGTCCAAAACTTAAATGTGTCTAGTAAAAAGAAAGGTACATTGTAACTGTATTCATATGAGCTAAATCATTGATTACCGACGAGACTTCGCAAAATCAGAACATGTATATCTCCAGATAATCAAATTTTCTAGAGCTAATTTTTATGTTACATGTATATTAAGCTACTCTAAATATCCTGAAAAGTCAACGCCAGATACCTTTGTTCAGATGAGTTATCAATAAAAAACTAGCGTTAACAACATGACACAAGAAAAGGATGTCGACTTTTACTTCATGTATTTTAATTGAAACAATCTGATTTGAAGCAACACTTTTGAAAACTAAATAGTATTTTCTTTAGATAACTGTTGAAGCTACAAAATCTCTATGCAAAGTTTTTTTCTGAGCATGCAAGCATAAGTTTTTCAAAAAATCAATTAATTTTTCATCAGTGATGTTACAAAGTAGGAATATACAAATGCAAAAAATGCTCTTAGAAACGAATGAGAAGTTCGAAATCAATTCCAAACGATAAAAATCCGTCTTCAAAACCTCTACATGATAGTTAAACAAAATTTTTTAGAAAAAAACGTTTGATCTTGCTGAAAATTTTACCATCGAGTTTATCCTGAAGTTTCCGAATTTTCTTTTCGTAGAATTAGAGAGTTATTTGCCAAATTAATTTGAAATAATAGTCAACTGAAAGAGATTTGTGTCACTCATTTGCCTGAAATGTCTAATATATAACCTTTCTTTCTTAAACTTACAATGGAAATATCATCAAGTAATAAACCAAATTGAGCAGCACGCTCAGTTAATAATTCACTAACACGTTGTGATATAAGAGTACGTTGTGTAATCAATTCAATTGCATCAAATTGAGCCTAGATTATTTCATAATATTGGTTTCAAATATTTTTTTGAGAGAAATATTTTGAAACTTACGACAACAGATTTTAATACTTCATTTGTAATTGATGGTAAAACACGTTCTTCATAATCTAAACCCAAATTAGTAAAAATTTTGGGTAAAATTTCAGCTTTTGGACGATAAAGAATACGTAAAGTAATATTAATTGTTTGTAAATCTAAGATAAAAATAAATTGATATAGATGAAAAATCTTTCTTTTTATTATATTTCTTTTTATACCTTTTGTTCCTGTAATTGATGGGACTGAACGTGGGCGAGTACGAATATCGAATATAATTGGTCGATGAAGCCATGGAATCATAAAATGTGTTCCTTCTCCGATTACATCGGGTTTAACACCTTGAAAACGATCGAAAATTACAGCTCGATGACCACCATCAACTATAAAATATTCATTAAATTATATCTCAAATCTTCTTTTTAATTGTTTACCATTGTAGAGCATAGAATTAATAACACCACCAGCAATCGCCAAACCAATACCCACTTTTCCTAAGAACAAGATAATTCATAACTTGAATAAAGAAAACTATTAACACTTCAACTTATGATATATGCAACTAGTTTTAGATATCTTAACTTTCTGCTCTACACAAACATTTCTCTTTTTTCTAATTTTGTTATTTAATCTTACCAATACTATTGAACAATCGAGATGATGCCATTAGTTTTAATTTATTTTTTCTAAAAAAACGAATTAGTTTTAGTTTTTTTTCTACAAGAAACATGTAAAAAATCATAATCAAAAATGTTTTTAATGATAGAAAAAAAACGTTCCTTATGTCTTTCGACGTCTTTTTTTTATTAGCAAGAAGTCTTTTTCAAAAGGAAAAAAAAGAGACGAAAAAAAGAAACATCACACATGGAGAAACGCAAAGAAGTCATATCTCCGTCGATCCGAGAATGCATCATTGTTTGATCTACCTATCCACTACGGTAACAAACTGATGCAATATGTACACAGACAAACAGACATACACTAATGTACGTAAGGAGTAGAAATAGATTAATCCAATGACGAAAAAAAAAGAGAGAGAGAGAGAGAGCGAAGCAAAGTGTATTAGCAGTTAGATATCAATGGTCTATACCAATCAACTGCATAGTAACAAGAAAGAAGAAAACACGTGAAAGTGAAACGAACAAACTTGAAAGAAGAAAAAAAAAGAAGAAAACATGCACGTTAGAGACAAACAGAAACTTCATCCGTCGAACAGAAAGTCACACAAGCACACACACAGACACACATACACAAACATATGCACCGTTTTAAACCCTTTGCATACACAAAAAAGAACTAAATATCGACTCATGTTTTAACACCGTTCGGAAGTTGTCCGTCGATTCGGTTGTCGTGGTTGAGCACGATTACGAGATGGAAGATGTTCACCACTTAGTTTTAATGAGTAAGCCGTTGTTGTTGTATCACTGTTAGTTCCTCCAGTAGCTGCTGCTTCTTTTGCTGCTGCAGCTGCAATTGCTTCTGGTGCTGAGACAGTCTAAAATATATAAGTAATACAAAACAACAAACAGTTTTATTTCTTTCTATTTACTATAATTCCTGATTTCGTTGGAAAAAATTGTTGTGGAAACGAAGCACCTTCAACACGAAAATCTTCGAGACGTTTATATTTTTTCAAAATTTCTTCTAATTTTGTATTAATCTTTGGTTTTCGTCGAGAATATTTAAGAAAAGCCCAAAATTTTTCTAGCCCATATAATTGACCTTAAACGAAAAAAAAAAAAGTACGTATTTCCAATAAGATAAAATGAAATTTTGCTTTATTTCTTACCAGCTTCATGATCACGAAGTGTTTCATTTTCAAAATCTTCAAGTACTTCTTGACGAAAATGTTTTTCAAGACCATATGTATAAAATCGAAATAAACATTCAAGACCATATCTAAAAATGATATTTATTCTTGTAATATAAAGAAAAAAAACTTATAATGTACCGATGACCAGTTTTTCCATCGTCAACAGCATATTGTTTAAATTCGTTGTACATACGACGATTAAAATTTTCACGCAAGAAAAATGACCAAAAACGATAGAGTGTATTCATTTCCATAGATTGACCAGGACCATATTTAGTTCGTTCTAGAATTTGAAAAAAAGAAATTATCTTTACTAATATCAAAGATTATTTTAATTCAAAGAGATAAAAACAAAATTCATATCATAATAAAACATTCAATCATCACTTATATGTGATTAAGGATAGAGAAAATTTGATATTCTACATCTACGCTCATAAGTAAAGATGAATATTATATTTTAAAAGGACTTTTCTTACGATCAAAGTCAATACAAGACATATTTACGAAACTCTTGACTAACGATTTTATATGCATCATGTTTAATTTTTTAAAGTATAATCAATAGAACTGCTGTAAAAAGCACGCACAAAAATAAAAGCAAATATAACATCTATTGAAAGGATAATGAATGTATTCGGGTGTCGTTGTTAGTCTTCTCCAGATATGTACCATAACCAAATAACAGAATTTCACTATTTCAAACTTAGTTTATTAATTTTGAACTATATCAATAAATTGTCAAGCTAGAAATATAGAATGACGTCTGCCTTTAACAACTATATGGAGAATGATCCAAAAATTGTTTGATTTGATAAGAGATTGAAACGAAACTGAAACATAACTCAAACTTATTAAGTTCAACTTTTTTGACTGACTCTAGCATATAGTTTAATAACGTTACTGAAATTCTTCTTTTGGTATTCTTCAATATTTATTTCCAGAATTCAATTTTCTACCGACGGAAAAATATTGTGTCAAGTAGATCAGTAGATAAGAGTTTTTTTTTTTCATGGACGCAAAAAGCAACTCAAACAGTTTGGGTGTCTGCTCAACTTTTCGATGCTAAAATTTCTTCGTGCTTATTGTTCATCAATGCGTTTCATCGCTTATTTCATGAACGAAGAAGTTATTGTTGGTTAACAAAAGCTGAAGCTGATGATGACGGACGAAAAGAAAAACTGTTTTACTTCGACAACGAATTCTTTCCCTCAGATTGCTGTTTGACCAAAATGAAATAAGTCTCGTTGATCGTCTAGATTGACTTTCTGTTTTAGTTGGAACAAACAAATGATGTTTTTTTCTTAAAAATTTTTACGATTTTTCTATTTTATTATTTTATTCTCACGAATTTTTGAAAATAAAATATTACTTACAAACACATATTTTTTGATTATCAAATTGATGTCATATGTTGTAAACTGCTCAAGATTTTTTCTTTCATAATCTTGTTTTTTCAGAATTTCAATTTTTCGAAGCTTCTTCATATAAAGACTAATCACTAAGCAAAATCTTTTTTTTATTCATACTAATTGTCGGCAACGTTTTGTTGCAGTTTAGTATGAAACATGAATGTGAATATAGAAAAGATATTCTTCAAGACTAATTTTGATCTTTTAATCTCTTTTTGTTTTTTTCTCTCAATTTTCAACGATTTTTCTTTTACCATCAAGACATTGTTGTTTATATTTTAAATAAACTTGTTGAGTAAAGCCATTTTGTTGTAAAAGTGAATGAGATGGATGTTGAAATTGAGGAATTTCAACAGGTGTTGAACCATAATAATCATATAAATTCGAATTACTACCATATGTATTGCCATACCAATAAGGATTCTCATTATATGATGATGAATATTGATCATAAAGATCTAGTTGTCGAGTTCTAAATAAGAAAAAAGAAAAATATTTTTAATAAAATATAATTAATCTATTCAAAGTCATTCTTCTTCGAATAATATTCTCATATATAACAAAATATAATCTTCTAAAAAGTAATTCTTACGTAGCACTCGTTGTTGTACTGGTTCTTTGTTTCATTGTTGTTGTTGTTGTTGTTGGTGGTGGTGGTGGTGGTGGTGGTGGTGCTACTGCTGTTGTTGTTGCTGCTGTTGTCGTTGATGGATGACCACGTGAATCAAATACCCACCCAACTGAACTTTCCACCGGTGGATTTTCACTATGACGAGTTTTACGTTTAAGACCAGGTGTCTACAAAACGATAACAACAACTCATTAGTTCATTTGTCTTTTTTTTGCAAAATAAGAAACAAAAAATTACATCTGGTTTAACAACAGGAGCATCTTTTGTAACTGGATAAAATCGAGCAGCATTTTTTGCACGTGAATGCGGTGTACGTGGTTCTTCTGGATGTTCTTTTGATGCTTGTGAACGTTGTTTTTTTTCATTTGTATTTGTTGTTATTGGTTTAGTAACTAATGGAGCATCAGCATTAACAGGTAATGAATGTGACATAAAATCATTTGCTAATATTTGTGATGAATTTTGCTGTTGATTTGAAATAGGTAAATGTTTTGGTCGATAGAATGGTTCAACTTGTGGTGGTGCACGATTATTTGAACGAATAATAGCAATAGCTGGACTACATGGTTGTTTATCATTTGCTATTGTTGTTGTCGTCGATTTATTTTCTAGAAAATATATATATATATATAGTCTTTGTTATTATAAGAATTAAATAATATTACCTTTATCAGCTTGTGATTGAAAATTTTGATTTATATCTTGATTATTATCATCATTATCTTCAACACTAGGTTTTCTTCCACTCACCGGTTGTGATTGACTCGGTACTTTACGTATTGTATCCATTTCTTCTTGACTTATTAATTTCACTGTTTTATCATTCTAAATATAAATATCGATGGGATAATATTTATTAAAATAAAAAAGAAATACAAACAGCTGCTGCTGTTGGTCGATCATGCCATAATTCTTCTTCATACCATCTTAAACCATCATCAATAATTTTGGCTATTTCAGCTGTCATACGTGCTCGTGGTGTATATTCGCCTGTATGATCGTGATTTTTTTGATGTTGTTTACGATTTGATGGTGGTGTTGGTGTTATAATAAGAATTTTATCAATATCATCATCATCTAATTCAAAATCTAAGTCATCACGTTCTCTAGAAAATAAAAAAATATGAATAATGAAATTGTAAACAGAAAACTATATATATATATACGGTTCTTCATGTAAATCAAGTGTTAGTGATGTTGTACGACGTCGATTTTGACGATTATGTGGAAGCAATGAAGCTGAAAGATCAGATGATGTATTATTAGTATTATTTGTTTTTGAATTTGTTTGTGTAGTAGATAATTCTTCATCAAATTGAAAATCTAATTCTTCACGATTATCCGATGATTGCTGTTGTTGTTGTTGCTGTTGTGGAGTTATCTGGGATTGTTGTTGTTGTTGTGTTTGTTGTTGTTGGTCTTTTTTCTCCTAGATTTAAATTATATATAACAAAAACAATTTTTTTTTAAATATAATAATACCTTTCTTTTTGTTGGTTTCTTTCGTTTAGTTGGTACATGACTCCAATCAACTTCATTGGTTTTGATTCGTCCTTTCTCTAGCAACTGTGATTCATCATCAAGTCCATTAAGAATTGTATTATCTATATGTAAATAATTCTTTTTTTTGTCAAAAAAACAACAAGTTTTATACTTACTCTCATTCTCATTTTTCCATATTTTACCCGGTTGAAAATCAGGCACATCAGGATTAAGTGCTGTTAAATGATTACTAACATCCATAATAAGTGGCCATCGTGTTGGTTCAGTTCGGCAACGTACCATACATTTATCATTAAGTTCAACAACTAGACTATCTTTAACAGCCTAGAAAAAAAAGACTTTCTTGTTTTTTTTTGAAAAAATTAAAGAATTTATTTAAACGAACATCTGCAATAAAATTAATATCATCACATAATGTTAGAACTCGATTAAAACTTGCAATAAGTGATAATGGTACATAACCATCTTTAGACATTTGTTGTCTAAGAAATATATCTGCTTCAAGATTTTCTGTACTAAAATAATATTCACTAAAAAGCGAAGAAACAAAAAATATTAAATTTGAATTGTTTATAAAAACTTTAATATTTACACTTGACGTCGAAGAAGTTCTCTTAATTGTTGTTCAGTGTAAGCCGGTACAAGTGGAATTGTATAATCATCTGTATTAACATCAATGTTGGTTAAAGGTATATCAGTAGCTGGTGGTGGTGTAGTTGATTGATAATAATAAGCACCTTCTATATATGGCAATACAAAAGAACAATCATCAATAACTACCGTTTCATCATCAAATATAAAATTATGCACATCACGTTTAATAGCGGTTTCATGAGTATCATTAGCGCCTGTTATATCTGAACCGGCTGCAAGGAGAAACAAAAAAGAAAAAAGATTTATGTTATTAACAAATAAAAAGAAGAATATGATGAATAAGATAATTTACTGTTTGTATCTCCGGTTTGTGCATTCGGATCGACACCAAGTGTTCCTTCAACTTTCTTTTTTCGTTTACTTTGTTTATCATGATACCATGGAGTTCCATGATCACCTAAACCTGTTTGATCATAATCTGAAGAAAGAAAGAAAAATGAATTTTTTAATATTAAAAGATAAACGTTTACATACAATAATAAGCATAATAATCTTGATATCCATCATAGGCTTGTTTATAAGCAGCTGTGGTTGCTGTTGCAGCTGCAGCTGCAGCACGATTTTTTCGACTTTTTTTTGGTGCAGCCTCATCAAGACTACGTGCACGATTTTGATTAGTTCCATGTGCACTACGTGAATTTCGACTAGCACGATTTCCTTTTGATGATGTTGCTAGTTTTTTTGATGTCTGTTGATTAGCACCGTTTTGAGCATTTGTATTTGTTGATGTTTCACCTTGAATATTTTCTTGTTCTTGTTGATCTAATGGTAATGGTACCCATTTTTGTTTTCCTTTCTTTTTTCTTGTACGAGGTGTATTCGGTTGAGAATTTTCATTTTCATTATCATTAGATACTATTTGTTTATTAGTTGTTACCGATGTTTCACCTTCACCATTTTCTTGCTCTTCATGATCTGATGGTAATGCTACCAATTTTTCTTTTGTTTTTATATTTCGTGTTCGAGGTGTATTCGGTTGAGATATTCTTGTTTCATTATCATTGAATACTGTTTGTTCATTGGTTGTTACCAACGATTCAACAGTTGCTTCAGCAAGACTTGGCCAGTCTTTAGGCTATGAAAACAAAGGAAACATATGTCGAATGACATACACACAAAAAAATAAAATAAAATTTCCTTTCTCACTGGTAAAAGAGCAGTATTAGGTGATGTATCTTTAGAAGTATCATTGGAATTCGTTGATGAGGATTGTTGCCAAGCTGAACAGCTGGTTGAAGTTGATGTGGCTGTTTCGTTTGGCATTACGCCTCGAGTTGTTTTTATTCTGAGAATAAAATTTCAAAAAAATAAATGAAACAATAAAACAAAGATTTTATTAAGTTTTTGAACTAAACAGAAATGACGTTAGGAATTTGCATAATTCTATATATTTTACGCAATTCGAAAAAAAATCACTATCAATAGACGTTGGCAGAGAGGATTCAAAAAGTGCGAACACGTGAAATTAATACGTGTACTTTTTTTTTTTGTTTTGTTTATTTACTATATGCGTAAGCACTCACATCAGGTGCGCGTTTTATCTGTAGCATGATAAACTATGGATCATGCGATGTGCATCTGACAGGTTCGATGTTCTTAATCTTCGAACCAAAGAAAAATAGTGACTATTGTATATGTCAGACCTCACTCGAATATCTCTATTTATTGACAAGATTATAATTGCGTAATTTAGAATTTCATAATATAAAAAAACGTTAGGAAAGAAAAAAATAAATATAATAATGATGTCGCCAGTATATTATATGTTATTGGTTTGTACAATAGAATTGAATTAATTATATTATATTCGATTTGATTTTCATATGTCCATAATCAATTAAAGTATATGAATATTTATTCGATTGTATTCAACTTGAATAGAAATAGAACTCAAGAGAAGGACATCTATACTTGATTTAAAATATGCGATAACAACACAGACTAGTCTTACAGTAGCCCAAATGTTCAGCATACATATTTTTCTTTTGTTTCATGAATGAAAAACATAGCTTCCTATGAGCGAGAATATTTGAAAATCGAATTGAAGATGTTCTCTCCATTCGTATAAAGAATAATTTGTCTCACAACAAAACATTCTCAGATGTCGGTTCACTTATCAACCGGAACTTATTGCATCTTATGTCAAAAGAAGAGTTTGCACTTATTATTCTTTTCTGTGCAGACTAAATATTTTTTGATGAATTTTCGCTTTAAAAACTCAATATTTACAGCAAAACTAACGGGTGGGCCAGAATAAATTATACTGTTTGTATTTTGAATATTTTCTCTTTATTCTTCATATGATTCAAACACTTTTTTTATCAAAAGATAGCGCTTGAAATTCTCTACTAAAATGGAAGTGATTGAACTGCAAAATTATTCTAGATATATTTGAAAAAGGATGAAAAGTGAAGATATACAAAAAACTGTAAAAATTAACCGATTGGGCATAATGAATGGCAGTGTTTTGCATCCAATTTTTTCATCACTTACTTCGCTCAATTAAAAAACAAAATATACCAAAAGATGCAGTATGAAAAGCTCTTCAATTTTTAAACGACCGATTATTTTATAGTTGTAAATTTTTTTTTCAAAACGAACAAAGTTTTGAGTGACCAAATTTCGACCGTGTAAAAACGGCATATTCTTTTGGTACAAGCTGAATTCGTTTTTTTTTATTTCATCTTTTCATAATTGTTCTTTGAAAATTGTAGAGCTTTTCACGCTGCATCTTGTGGTGTATTTTATTCTTTTGAAAAAAAAACATATCAAGCAATGATACGATGAAATTAAAAAAATGAACTCAGCTTGTATCAAAAAAACATTCCATTTTCGCACGGTCAAAATCTGATCACTCAAAATTTCGTCCATTTTGAAAACAAAAAATGCAACTATAAAATAATCGGTCGTGTGTAAATTGAAGAGTTTTTCACGCTGCATCTTTTGGTATATTTTGTTTTTCTAATAGGGCGAAATGATATAAATGGGACCCAAAGTGCGGCCGTTCGTTGTGCCCAGCCGGTTAATTTTTCCAGGTTTTTTCATGTTTTTATTTTTTATCTTTTTTCGTATATATCTAGAATAGTTTTTGGGTTCAATCATTTCCATTTTTGTAGAGAATTTCAAGCGCTATCTTTTGATAAAAAGGTGTTTGAATCATATGAAGAATAAAGAGAAAATATTCAAAATACAAACAGTATAATTTATTCTGGCCCACCCGTTACATATTTTGTCGACTCTTCACTTACCGTTTATGAATATGTGTGTTCACATCATATATCAGCTAAATTTTCAGTTCAGCTAGAAATACGTATCTCTGTAGTGTTTGTTTCTATCCATGGCATAGCCTTTTTCAACTAGGAAAAAAATGTTTTCATTCACATTGGATTATATTGTGCAATGCGTTCTTTTCGATTCAAAATCGTATGTTGTTAGTATAGAACGTTTTCTATATCACTTAATCTGGCAGCAGAATGTTTTATGTGTCATTCTCTTTAGAACGACAAAGAATACATCTCTCATGCTAAAAAATACTTTCCATTTTACCTATCATTATTCATAGCAATAGAAAAGCGAGTTCTCTATCGTTGTTTAAATGAACAAATATATTCTTGTATATAATATATTTTACCTAAATTCGAAAATATTCAAGAACTTAACATTGTGACGTTCTAGACTGAGAGTGTTCTTACATCACGTTTTATCTTCTCTGGCTTTTTCTCGTCAACGTATCTCTTGTTTTTCATCCTTTCATAACAAAGATTAACTCGTTGCTTATTCTGTTGACAGGAATACATATAGCATCTTCCATAATTATCTTTCCTGTTTTTCTCATCTTTCTATTGTTATGTCTATCTTTTCTCTTGCTGTATCTTTTCCTTCTCTCTCTCTTTCTTGGTTGTGTGTATAAACGCGCATTGTGGATGTAAACGATGCGATTTATGATATGGAGAAGCTAAATAAAGTGTAATACCATCATCACTAACTCCTCTTCTATCTAAAATCGTCACAAACATAGACTTGTTGTTTTTATTGAAGAATAAAATTTTAAATGACTTATGATAATAATATTTGGTTTTTACTGTGAAATTTGTCGTTGCGATGAATGTATATGCAGTTTGCCTTGACAAGTAGATGAATAGATAGGCGAATAGAGTGAATACTTATTACAGATCTGCTGAATGTGACTAAAAGTTTTTACAGTAAAAAGAAGGGTTTTCACTTTTTCAGTACGGACCCACTGGTATTCTTTTTTATGAGCTCTTTTCACTGGGTGTTGCATTGGAAATTCATATTTCCTTCTAATTGAGTTCAAATATGAAAAAAAAGTGATTAGACAAAATTCTTCACGAAAAAAAACCACTGGATGTTTTGTTTTGTACTTTTTCTTTTCTTTTCTGTAGCTCATTGAACGAAGCTAAGATTTTTCCACAAAGAGTTGATAAATATTCTTTTTAAATTGGATATTTTACACCAAACAGTGTATTTGTTCTCGAGATATAAACGTGCTGCAGTTGAAATGCCACGGGACAAAAAAATTAAAATGTCTGTACATATAAACAAACGGGGCGCTCCATTTTCGTCCCTCCTTTTTTTACGGACATCGGACATAGATGACCGTTCCAAAACCCAGCTGTTTTGAAATAGTCCGGATGTTCGGAATGAAAAATCCCGAAGATCGGAATAAAAAACATCGGGTGTTCGGAGTGAAAGTCGTCCAGGTGTTCGGAAAGAAAAATACGAGATGTTCGGAATGAAAACTACGGATGTACCTAATAGCCGGTGGCGGATGTTCGGAACAGAAAAAAAACCGGTGTTCGTTATAATATAGTTTATTTTCTTTTATTTTCTAGTATAATCTTTTACAAAAAAATCATAAGGCAACAAATAATTAGACAAGTTTTAATATTTCACACGTATTAATAACAACAATTCTACTATATCACTTTCCTTGCTCATAATGAATAGATTGAGAGAGTAATTATCCTTTATTAGAAAAAAAAAATTTATTATGTCTAATGTACTTTTACTGCATGTCTTGATTTTCTCTTTTTTGGTGTTTGTTTCATATTGTCATCACCGTCTCAGACAATCATGTTCGAGATGCTAGCCTCTGCACAACAGAGGATCTTTATTTTTACTACTCATTTACACTATCTATCTGTAAGATCTATCGCTCACTACTGAACTCTACACTACTTTAGAAAACTCTGACTGAATGTGCAAGAGATCGCTACACTCAACAACTTAAAATATACTATATGAATGAATCCTTTTCTATGTTAAAAAACAGACACCCAAAGTCGAACGAATGGATATTGAGTTTGAAAGTTGGAACTTGGAGATAGTTTGAGAAGTTGGAAGAAGTAGCTTCGAAAAATGTCATCAAAATCGGTTAAGAGCATGTCGTATAGGCTTAATTTACCTTTGATGCAGTAACGATACAATAGACATGCATTTCACACAGAAAACTTTGCAAAATATTTTGAAGTCACTAATGATTTGTCTAAAATGCCTGAAACTGTTTATATTCTCTCTATTGACATGGAAAGCTACTCATGCACTGACTAAAAAGTTCATCTCGTAAAAATGAAAGCAGGAAGTGACATTACACGAAATAATTTATTTACCAACAAGTTACAACAATTGAGCACTCTTAGCACAAAAATAATTCAATACCTCGACAAATGGTCTTCATAGTTTCATTTGGACGGAATTCGTAGTTAATAGAGAATCATTCTCAAATGATACTTAATTTTGAAATGAGGTTTCTTCCGTTAAGACTAAAAAGCGCATATCAAGCTGTTTCTTATAACTTACTGTATTTTACTGAGTGTTATATTTCGAAAAAAGTTGAATGATGAAATGTCAACCGAGACCTGTACTCTTGAATACATATAATAGTTTCCAAATACGTGATATGAACAAAGATTCAGAGTGACAGATCGAGATCTCGAATTGCTGCAATATCTAAAAAACAATGATTACTCGAATGATACGGGTATTTGCACTGTTGAGAAGGGTGAACATCGATCTGAGATTGTACACGTTTGGAAAAGCCAACTAAGTCGAACGGTAAGAAAAGAACGGACGATTAGAGAAATAGCTTGCCAATCCTTTGTGGTAAACACTTGATAGGTAATTCCACATTGGTGCAGTGTCAGCTATGATGAATTCTTTGTATCAAGAAAATCCTTTACATTCTTTACAATTACAGATAGATGTCGATGACGATGCAATCGAGTGGGAAAAATGAAGCTGAGAACGATGACCTAATTTGTCCGATTACACTTCAAGTCTTTTGTGATCCTGTCATCGCCGCCGATGGTCACATATATGAGCGTGAAGCCATTGTACGATGGATTGTGGAACATGGTACCAGTCCATTCACCCGGCAGCCACTGGATGTTAAAGAATTACGAGCTGATGATTATTTGAGAAATCTAGCCACTCAATGGCGAAGCTCAAGGATGTCCTGCAACTATGACAGAAATCTTGATCATGCAATTCTTCAACGACAAAGTTCGACGATATCATACACCTATAACGTATTTGTTAATCAAACAATCCCTAGCAGCAGCATAGTTTTAACAGACAGTGCTAGAAATCATTATGTGTCTTTTAAAAATTTCTGTTATCGACACCCATGTGTAATTCCAATTGTGATTATGATTACATTCGTGGTTGTCTTCTGGATGTACAGTTTCCATTTTCATTCTGGCCAGAGAACTGACGTCAATTCCGGTGAGCTCTCAATGAATACACGATCTTTTCCCGTATATACGCGGCATAGATTCAAGAAGTCTGAATTTTTTCAGCTATCACATTAGTCCGTTAATATGTTCAAATTGAAGTAGGATCTAGCAGTTGGATTGGCATATCTCTCGTGTCGTCAGAATAAATTCATTGTTTAGTAAGATAACTTTTTGAAATGTTTCATCCTATAGACGTAGCGACAAAATAGACAACATGAAAAGAGAAATATGGAGACGATTTTTTTGTGACATTATTGTGGACTTTCACCTCGAACAGCTATATACGATGCTGTGGCTATTCTTTATAATAGTATAACTATTATGGTGTGAAACTGTGCTGTCATAATTGATATCCACACCCACACCTTTAGGTGGATGTGTGTGGTGTGGGTGTGGTGCTGAGTGTGTGAATGCGGGTATAGATCTGATATTCATGCATACCCACGTTCTTCGCTACCCGGCACTAGTACAATTCGTCGCACGACAATTCGTCGCGAACAATTCGTCGCACGATCAATTCGTCGCAAGACAATTCGTCGCGATCAGTTCGCCGCATACAAGGGAAAGAGTACATTAATTGGATTAAGTAATTTTGTTTAGCTTGTTTTTCAATTAATCATCCCAAAAGATGCTTTCGCTTACAATAATCAGACTCTTTCTATTATTTATTTTTTTACCAAGAAAAACACAGAGCTACTGATTTGCACTTTATTTATTTTAAATTTATATTAGCTAAAAATAAAGTTCAACTCAAAATAAATTTCTACAAAATTTAACTAAAAAGTGAATTCATTTTTTTGAATTAAAAAGTGACTTCCACGTAATTTTGAATTCTAAAAATTAGTTCTTTTAGCTTGACAGTTTAAAACTTATCTCTCAGCAAAATAGAACCTATTAAACTTTAATGGATCACCTGTAAAAAGTGATGTGTAAAAAAATTAAGTTATCAGATAATATGTAATTATTCTTTTAATGTTCGCAACATCGGAAACTCAAACAATTTTGAGAGTTTTCAAAACTACTTTAGTCAATGATTGAACAGTTTCTCAAATCACGGAAAATTATTCCATAAAGTATTAAACAAACCATACAGATTAAGAAACAGTACATGTTGGCTTCATTTCTTGAATTTCTTACCTCAAGATTTCATCACAAGGCTGCTACGCAGCCTTGATTTGAGTCACATCTAATAACAGGCTATTGAGTTTGTGGTAGAAGAATTTTTAAGTAATCTTTACGGAACTGAATCACTTGTTTTTAGAAAGAGCATCTACTATCCTTGGCGAGATCTGATAATTTTTTTAAAAGTTTATGTTGCAATAGAAATTAAGATTCAAAAGGATTTAAAATTGTCATAGGAAAAATCGACGTTTTCATCTCTCTAAGAGGAATATCTCGAATTCTCCTAAAAAAATTAAAATTTTAATTTTTCCTAATATAATTTTAATTTCTACTGTAAGATGCACATTTATATGTTTAATTGAAAAACAAGCTAAACAAAATTACTTAATCCAATTAATGTACCCTTTCCCTTATATGCGACGAACTGATCGCGACGAATTGTCTTGCGACGAATTGTACGGTCACCCGCTACCCCATACCGCGANAATAGTATTAAGAGTATTATTTGATCGAAATGATGAACGAATCTAGGAAAAAGAAAACATAAATATCAGCTGAATTGGTAGATTTTTTAGAAAATTCTAATATTGCCACTCATTATCCATATGGGGAGGGAGGTCACGGAGGTCTCTGACTGAACTTACTCATGTATAGTTACTGCAATACATCAAACAGTATTAGTCTGAGTGATATTTCAAGAATAATGAAAAGAAAAATAGTCTTGTCCGAGCATGATAAAATCACATTTAAACAATAGTACATAAAAATGAACTCTTTTGCATTATACTATCAATGACAAAATGCTTACGAATCATTTTGTCGATGGATACGATCCACGGGTAATTAGTTGCAAAAAATAAAAGGTTCTCAGAAGATGCTTTCATCTGTAGGAATTTGTAAAGCTCGTTGGACTGATCATTTTGAAAAAGAAAATAATCAAATTTACGCAATAAAGCATGATGTTACGATCAAAATACTCGAAAATGACAACTATTGCTCAGCAGCAGTCAGAAATAGCCGAAGTTTTTGAGTATTTCGGTGCTAGTACCATGATTTATTGAGTTAATTTGAATATTCTTTTTTCACAAAATGATCAGCGCAACGTGTTCTACAGACAAAGAACCTTCTGAGAACCTTATGTTTTTTTTTTGCGGTTGACAACCCATAGAAGTTTCCATGAAGAATAAAATTCGAAAACAGTTTATCGTTATTAGATAGCTATCTTTAAGTTCAATTGATTGGTGTTATATACTATTGGACAATAAGTTCAAAGGTTTGAAAAAATTTAATAATTATAAAATAGCGTCAATATCTTTTGGTCTTGTACGTCTTTCAATTGTTCTGTACAATTTTGTAAAAGTAGGCTATTACCATACTCGTTTCCGTAGGCATTTTTTCAAAATTCTTGAAACTAATGAAACAGAAGACATGCTTCAAAGCAATCTGGTCCCGATTCCATGCAGTTTTTCCAGGATTGGAAATATCTTATTCATATCTAATATCATGTCATAAAATATTCTTAAAATGTATGTCACAGGTCGAACTAGGTTTTAATATAGGTATGTATATATGATATCAAACTAGTTACAGTCTAGACTAATTCTGTAGAAAGATTAATTTGTTTGTATTTACCGGTATTGTTCCATGGAATTGTCTTCGACGTCCGAGATTTAATCGAGGATTTATTATTGATCTTTTCTCAAGTAACCATTTTAATTGTCTCAATGCATCTGATCTTTGATTAGCCGGTGTTTTTTGACATTTTCCAACTTTATTTAATGTATCCAGTTTTTTATGAATATTATTTACTTCATTTTCACTTGATGATGTTGGCAAATTTTCTGTACTTGCTGTTCTTGATGATGCAGCTGATACTGAACTAGTTTGTTTTTGTTTAGGAAAAAATAAATTATTTTCATCTGTTGTTTCTTCTTCAATGATACTAGCTGTAAGTGGTGGTTCAGATGCACTTGTTATTACATTTGATGATTCAATACCACTTCTACCAGATACATCAGATATATTTGATGTACGTCGATCTGATGAAAGTCTTGATGTCGACGATGGAATAGATAAAAATTGAGGACATGTTGTAGTATTATTTATTAATTGTAAATGATTAGAAGATGAAGGAGAATTCGTAGTTGATGTTGAAAGAAAAACATTATCCGAGAAACTTGATGATTGATTTGTTCTATTACCACCAGAAAAAATATTAGCATCAGCTGGTATTGATGGACTAGTGAGAAATTGTTTATGATTTATGTCAGATTTCAATAATGATTGTTGACTAGATATTTTATGTGATTGTGAACGTTGATATAAGTAAAATTTATTTTTATCTGCATTGCAAGAATTATGTCGTTTTCGATGTGATATTGATTTACGATGAGTTTCGAACCGAAGAGAGGCATCAAATGAGACATTAGGTAAGTTTTTTGTTTGTTCTTCAATCGGTGATCGAGCGTTGAATTGTATCGGTTCTTCTAATGATGGTATGTTTTTCATTTTATCAACTTCTGACTCTTCTGATTCTGGTACAGGAAGAAATTGTGATGAACAATCATCCTCATCTTCTTCTCTTCTAACAAAACAAATTTCTTCATCATCATGTTGATGCTGATCAATTGTAGGAAATGAAAAACTACGCTGAATATCAGCTGATACTGATGGATTTTGTGATAATGTCGATGACATTGTATCGGAATGAGCTGATTGTTGTTGTTGTTGTTGTTGTTGTTGTTGATCACATAAAGTTGATACAGTTGATGTTCGACGACTTGATGTTGTTATTTGTTCAATTATTGTTAATGGAAGTGATGGTGATCTTTCAATAGGTGATGTTATCGATTCTGCTGTTGCTGATTTAACCCAAGCAGCAATAGAATGTTCATCCATATGAGTAATTGATGATGGCTTTTTAATATTTATTTGATCAAACTTATCTGATAATGATGTACTAACATCATTTGTTTGAGATGATGATCTATTAATACATGTTGATTCAAGTATATTTTCTTGACTATCATCAATAGGTTTAAATGGTGATATTGAATTTAATAATGTTAAAGGATTAATTTGAAGTGCTGGTAATGAATCATCTTTATTTTGTTCAGATACAGATAAACTTTTATCACTATTAACATTAGAATTCATCTAAAGTAATGATTTTTTTTATTAGTTTTTTCTTTTTAAAAAATAAAATGATCGATCTCGATTAACAGACTATTATATCTATTTCTTTACTTAAAGTTTTTCATAAAACAGAACATAAAAAGAAAATCCAACGTTAAATAAAAAAAAAGAAAACCAGAGTTTTTCTTGTTTTTGTATGTTATCATCATGACAATATATTGTCTTTTTCATCTTATGGTTTACATCGACCAATAAATCGTGGATAGAAGCAAACATCACGAATATGATAACGGTTTGTTAACCATGTCATAAAACGATCAAGACCAAGACCATAACCACCATGAGGAAATGTGCCATATTTACGCTAAAAAAGAAAAAGAAATAAAAAAAACACGTATTTTTCTTTCTTTTCTTTTAATATGACTTACTTGATCTAAATACCAATAATATGGCTCCGGTTTAAGACCATTCTTACGAAAACTTTCAGATAAATCNTCCTCTTAGGGTTATTCTAGTGTCGGGGTCTCCTACTTATCTCCAAAGTATGAGCTCTAAAGCGGTGAATCATCTCGAGCGGTTCCCTCGTTAGCACAAAAAAAAACTTAAAACGAAGAATTCAAATGTCCAGTAAAGCAAATTCTAGAAAAGGAAACAATAAAGTCGATTATTTATATCATTTGTTTAAAAATTCTACTCGAAATAAACAAATAAAACTAGTTAGTTAGTTTCATAGAAAATTGAAAGATGAATCTTAAAAATATGTTTAAATAGATCCAAAGGTAGTCTATAGTATAAATATTCTTTTAACTTTTAGTTTTTTCTCGTATGAAACTTTTCTATGAATGAAAAAATCTTTTTGTTTTTACTTTTATCCCTCACTGTTCTTCATTTATCAAACAATCAGTATGTATTCCAGCCTGTCTAGTAGGCAACAATAAATAAAAAAAGCTGAAATAAAACAAAGGAAATAAAACCAAAACAAACAAACGCTCATTAAAAATACGATCGAAACATGATATTGTCGTGTGTGTTTCTTCGTTGTTCTCTTTTTCTCAGACTATCAACACAAAGTAAAGAGAGATATGCGCATTGACACACAGCAAATGCGAAGAAATAAAAGTCAGTAATTCTGTTGATATATGTTTTTCACTTGCATATTGCATCGCACTAGCATTTGAAAAATGAGGAACGAAACGAAACAACAATAATAATAATAATAATATAAATAACAGCAATAAGAAAAGAAAGATACTGTTCAGGTTATACATATCCTGAAAAAATATGACAGATAGATATACACCACCGAGAAAATAAAAACAATGAGAGAAAAAAGAACGGATAATAAAAAACAGACACAAACATATCAGCTGTTTGAGAAGAAAAACCACACGCAAAATATAGACGTAAAAATTATTTCACTTTTTCAGTTTGTTGTTGATGAGTAGTTCGTTCATTACGTCGTTTAAATAAATTTGAATCACCTATTGGACCAAGTTTTAAGTTTTTGTTTGAATTTGTATTGATAGCATTGAATGTAGCATCAAGATTGTGCTAAAAACAAAAAAATGATGAGATTTTTTTTTGTATCCATTTTTAAAGAGGAAACACAAGGCATTAACTTACTCGAACAAGATTATAATCTTGAATATTACTTAATTTCGTGCTCGGAAGACTATCCATATTAGTAAACCATGGATGTTTACAAAGTTCTAATGCTGTTGGTCTTTTCTTTGGATCTACATCAAGCATTGCACTTACTAGTGCCTGAAATGAATCATAAATAATTGTTTTTCTTGTATTAAATAAAACAAAAACAAAAAACAACTGGTAAATTTACTTTTGCATTATCTGTTATACGATCCCAAGTTGGTCCAGTAAATGATAATTTATTAGCCGTTCGTGCAAGAATAAGTTCATGTGAATCATTACGATCAAATGCAAATGGTGTATTACCAGCTAATAGAGTATATAAAAGTATGCCAAGACTCCCTAGATTTTATATTATTAGAGAGAAAAAAATATTTAAAGAATTTCATTGAATTAAATAACGTACATATATCACAAGATTCATCATATTTTTTTCTTGATAAAACTTCTGGTGCAGCATATTCTTTAGTAAAACATGGTGTCATTAATAAACCATTTTCTGCACGTTGTTGTTTAGCAAAACCCAAATCAACTATACGTAAGGCTGATGGTTGACGATTTTTATCAACATACATTATATTACGAGGTTGAAGATCACGATGTACTAAATAAAGACGAATATTTTTTTTTTATTATTATTTTAATTTAAATTATAAGAAAAAAATAAAATAAAAAATAAATTTACCAATTGAATTTCGATGTAATTGTTCAATAGTTTTTATAATAACATACATTATTTTTGCACTTTCACGTTCGGATAAAGATTTTTCTTGACGAATTTTATCAAATAATTCACCACCACGCATTAATTCTGTTACAATATAAACTGTAGGTAAATTAAAAAAAGCATCACGTATCTAAAATAAACAACAATAAATTAATTAATTTTCTATTTTTGAATACTTCTTTTTTTTTTATTTACTCGAATAATATGTGGTAATTGATTATAACGAAATAATAATTCAATTTCATCGGATGGATCATTCATACTTGGATCTTTTATTATTTTAACAGCATATTCTTCACGTGTTTGTCGATGAATACAACGATAACATGTTGATGTTTTACCATGTCCTAAAGCTTCTTTTACATCATATTCATCTTTAAATGGTGTTAATTTGACACCAATTATTGATCTTAAACGTCTTTCAACATCATTTGAATATGATGAATCATTTTGACGTGCATGTATTAATTCTGGTGCAATATAACTAAAACCATGGAATGATTCATGAGCATCAGCACTTGGTGGAATACCAGGTGAATCTATAGGGAATTATAATCGAAAATAAAATGAACGAGAAAAAAAAGAAGAATATCTATTTTCTACCTGTTGGTGTTTTGCATGTAAATTCTTTATCAAAGTAATGTGCAAAATCGGAATGAATAGGTGGTATAAATGGTGGTTCAATTTGTTTCTTATATAATTTATCCCAATCAATTGATTCAAAAAATGCATGATTTTGTATATTACGAAAACCATCTGGTCCAGCACCCAACCGATTAGCTGGATTACGTTTAAATAACATTCGTAATAAACTTTGTGCTTCTAATGATGGATATGTTGGCATAGCTAATTTAGCTTTTAATATCATATTCATTGTTTCTTTACGATTTGCACCATGAAATGGTAAATGTCCAGTTATCATTTCAAATGCAAGTACACCAAATGACCACCAATCAGCAACATGTGAATGTCCTTTACGTGAAACAACTTCAGGTGACATATATTCAACAGTACCACAAAATGAAAATGTTTTTGAATCTTGTGTTGGTACTGATTCTTTTGATAGACCAAAATCAGTCAATGCAATATGACCATCGGTATCAAGAAGAATATTTTCTGGTTTTAAATCACGATAAACAATACCAAGTGAATGCAAATGATCAAGTGCCAAAGCTAATTCAGCTAAATAAAATTGTACATCTCGTTCGGTGAACATAACTAAATTAAAAGAATTTTTTTTTTGTTGATTAAATTAAATAAATTTTAAAAAAATATATACCTTCTTTTGATAAACGTGTAAACAGATCTCCACCACGTAAAAAGTCAAGGACTAAATAAACTTTGCCTTCAGTTTGAAAAGCATAATGAAGTTTGACTATAAATGGATGTGAAATTTGTGCAAGAATATCTCGTTCCATTTTTGTTCGTTGACGATCACGAACTATTATTTAGAAAAAAAAACAAAACATGTATTTTGTTTTTTGTTCATTAGAAATAATAGCAACCTTTAAGACTTGCTTTCGTGAGCACTTTCATAGCATAGAGTGAACCTGAATCGGGACCAATAATTTTACGTACGAGGAAAACCTAGAAAAAAGAAAGCATATTATTAATTAGTTTGATTTATAGCAATAAAAAAAAAATTATTACTTTTCCAAATGAACCAGCGCCAAGTGTTTGTAAGAGTTCAAATTGTGATGTTTCTGCTCGATCACATCCTTCTTTTGTGATATTTGTAATTTCAATTTCACTTTCGGCACCACTATTTTCATCCTAAAAATAAAAATAAATAGTTTTGTTTTTTCTCAGAATAAATGTATATATATATATATATTAATCAAGTATAATTAGATATATTATTTTTTTGTAAACATATATTATATTTTAAAAATTGTTTAAAATGACTATTTTTACCATAATGAATCCCACGCAAAAAGGAAGAAGCACCTTTAATTGATTAATTTTTTTTTTACTTGATACATTTTATTTAAATTAAATATTTCTTAAGAATCAAGAATATTAAATATCTAAGAATATTTGATATATATATATATATGTAAATTTTCAGAAAGAAATATTAATAGGATAATAATATGAAAAGCTATCTATGGCTTAGACTTTGATCATCTAATCAAATTGTTCAATAAACAAAAAAAAAAGAGACAGATCAATTATACCTGCTTTTTTAAATGCATTCTTTGTTGCATACGTATGCACACTGTCAAACCATCTTCAAACGGAGGGATCGAAACGAAAACTGTTCTTTATCGCTTTCGTATATATTAAAATGGCGAAAAAAAAATCAAAAAGCTGAATATCCTTCTTTTTTTTCTTCTTTTTTTTTTTTCTTCATTTCTCTTATTCTTTTTTTTCTTCACTAAAAGCCTATCGTCTCCGTCTGTCTAATCGCTCATCAACATCATGATAAGGCTTCGAACATGACAATGTCAATCACAGAGCTGACTAAAATACAGCAAGGCCAAATCTAGCGCATTTTTTCACTTTTACTAGTGTCAATAATATAAAACAATATGACCCGAATTCAAATATACAAAACAAAGTTCTTCTCAGCCGTTGTGTTAATCTTTCACATTGTTACTTTTTATATTTATCTTTGTGTCTCGTCGTATTTGAAGGCTGTCATTATTAATGGAAATTGCTAAGAACAAAAATAATATTAAAAGTCAGCTGATTGTCTATTCCCAAAATATTATTAGATAATTTCTTGTTTATTTTTGCAGATTACTTAGCAATTTTGTTGTTATGTATGTGTTGTTTTCACAATAAGTGTACATGTACATTTGGGCACATTTCCAAGGTGAAATAACATCACAACATCATAACAACACTACAAGTAGCGCAAGGTCGCCACTGGTTGCCATCCACTATTGCTAGAAACAACAGAAACAGAAGAGAGAACGAAAGAATGTTTCGAAGAAAGGAAATGACAGAATATAAACGAGTAGTTTTTATATGTGTGGCAATAAAAATGCTCATAATTAGATGGGGCAGTTAGTACATCTTTTTTTTCTTTTATTCTCACAATATACTTCTACTCAGTCACAGGAATAAAAGTATCTGAGTAAAAAAAAAAAAAAAAAAAAAAAAAAGGGACACTATCTTGCAATATCATCCCACGCCGCAATCTCTTCGTTCTTTTTTCTTCTCAACTTAATCATCGACACAAAAGAAACCTATTGCATGAAAATAACTACTTTGATTAAATAAATGCTATCATATACATATATATGGAAAACGAAAAACACATATGTTATAGTGGGTGTGAGTGATGACGAACTAAGTGACAGCCGTATTCACAGATAAATGCAAAAAAAAAGCAGTTTTCACCTTATCATTTGATGAAAAAAATTGACTCCAAATCAAATGAAATTTAAAGCTTGAATTACACTAATCAATCAAAACATAAGTGGATTTTTTTTTCTTTCGCTTAGTTCTTTTCGAGAAAGCAAAAATGGAAAAAAAAAGTTCTACTTTTGTTCTTCTATCAACAAATGATATTTTTCATCACATAAAAGATTAATAATCGTTACGTGTGCATGAATAAAGAAGGGAGAAAAAAAAAATCTATATGGGAAAGAAACAAAAAAAAAAAAAGACTGAAAAATAATCATTGATACAATCATCGATGTGATGACATTATTTTACGACTTTAACCATGGGAAAGATATTACTATGGAAAATAATAACGAAAACAATGACACTATATCAATCAAGACATATTGTGAATGTCTAGACAGTAGATGTTTTGGCATTAGTATGAGAAAAATAAAAAGAAGGAAAAAAAGAAGAAATCATATTGTGATTTTTTATCTCGGAAGAAGAAGAATGGAACAAATAAGCAAACAAAAAAAGACTTACAGATTTTAAATCGAAAGTTGTAAATTGTTGTAAGGGTGTAACTGATGAACTTGTTTCTGTTATTGATGAAGGTAGAAATGGTTGTGGTGTTATAGCTAAATCAACGGAACTTAATGTATTTGTATTATTATCTTCACTGACTGTCTTATCAGAATTTCTAATACATTGAGTAAATGATTTTCGTATTCGAAAATCATTATTTTTACTATTTAAAATTCTATTTTTTTTGTTTTCACCGGTATGATATAATTGTTGGCAACTATGATAATTGTTTTTTTTTGATAAATAAACATGTTCAGTATCTGTTTGTGTAGCTGAAAATTGTGGACTAGATGGTGATTTACAAAATTCAATTGTTGATTGATTTATATCGTTTGATAATTGTTTATGATTTTTAAAGAAAAGATGTAATGATGTTGTAAGTGAACGATATCGACCATTTTTTTTGCGACGTAATGTTAGACAATGTAAACGTTTGAGAACATTTAAAAAAATATTTGTATGAATAGATGATGGTCGTGTTGGTAAAGTAACATCTAATGATGAATTCGATGACAATGATGACTGTCTTGATGATATATTTGAATCATGTGTGTCAATACCAGCGCCTGACTCACATGAACTTAAATAAAACTTATGCTGTTCGCCACTTCGAGGAAGTTCGAGAAAATCCATAGATACTTTATCGTTTAGGTGAACGTCTTTCATAAATAAGTGAATGAATAGAGTAATCTGTTTTCGAAAATTAAGATTAAGTCATCATATAACCTTTACTTATGGTCAGCGCGTACTAGTGACATAGCGCACAGCGATAGAAGAAAAACAGTAGAAAATATGGAAAAAGAGAAAAAAAGGGTATAGAAAAAAAAAAAAGAGAATGAGTGGGAGAATCATTTTTAGATGTAGAGAAGGAAGAAAAAAAAAAGTGTTTTGCACTTCTCTACAATAGACATTAGGCGTACACAGCAGCAAAAATGCTGAGACACGAAGCAACGCGATGATTGCAATATTGTCGTCATATAATAGAAGAACGTTGGCGCGTGCGTATACAACGTTCGTTGAATGACGTCATGCTCCTACTCGTGATAAACAAAAATAATCATTTGCTGTCTTTTCTTTTTTTCTTTTTACGTTTACTCTAATATTCATCGACCTATTAGCTAAAAACTTGAATACCAAAAATTCTTTTCCTTTTAGTCAAAATACGTCAAACCTGCATGTGATTAATAATTTCGTTGCCTAATTACAATGAATCATCTACAGATTGAACAAGAATGTTCGAGAATATTCTGAAGAACATTCTTTCTTCCTTTTTAATTTATATTCATAGAATATAAATCACCAAAAAAAAAAGAAAATAACCCAAGCATTAATAGCAATATTAGAAAACCAAAAACCATAATTAATATCAGTTAGTTTTTAAATCAATTTACCGTTTCATAACTACTACTAGTAGTCGTGGATTTCTACAATCATAAATGATTGCATATAAACAATTTATAGAAAAAAAATATATGCAAATAAAGTAATCGAATTTGATTTATTACTTACAATAGAAACAATTTCAGGCAGATCGTCATCAACTAACATATTATTATTGTTTGTACTTGTTGTTGCTTGAGTAATATTTGAAGACACACCATTTCTATCAAGATTAGTTCTACACTAAAAAACAAAAGAAAATAACAATTGAATGTTATTATATTATGTTCATGAATAACTATATCGAAAACAAATATATATAAATTAATGAAAACATAAAAATGATTATTTGATTAATCTTATCAATCCTTATTTTTTTTCTTTCCTTCTATCGACAGATATAGAAGAATTGCTCACATATAGAAGCCTATTATGAAGTTTATAGATTTCCTGATTTGATAATTTATTGATATGAATGGAAAAACAAAGAAAAAAAAAAGCAAAATTGAATTGTATTTCTAATGCAATCTAGATTTTGAAAATGAATGCGAATAATGATTTTCCGATACTTGTTCAATTATTATTTTGTTATTCTCATACAAAAAACAAAAATCTAATATCAAAAAGGTCATATTGACATTCAGAGGTAATTAGTAAAAACATAGGAAATCCGTAGGAGGACATTCACATTTTGATTTTTTCGAACTAATATGATATTTACTCTAGTAGAAAACAATAATCTCTAATTGAACTAATGGAAAAGAAAAAGACTTGAGCTATTTTATCATGGGAAATCAACGATGTTTGTTTTTTGTGCATCCTTTCCCACTTCTGAATCATCATTTCTAATGAACATAGTTTAAAGGTAAAATATTTTTAGCTCTTCTCTCTTCCGTTGGTCACTGGAATGATTATTTTTAGAACGATTGCAGGAAATAAAGGAAGTATGGAATTTTAAAATGATAAAAACATTCGTTTTAGTGAACTTCATGAACTATTAACCTGTAAAAAGAAAATAGTTTTTTTTTTCATCGCTCCACCTTTAAAATATCGAGTGTACAAAATCGATAATCTTGAAAAACATTTTTCAAAACGAAATATTCTTCATCTACACTAAATAAGAAATCTTTCAGAATTTCTGTGTGATATAAATCGATGAAGAAGCTCACTGATAAGTTAGATATATTATGAAAGCTGTATGATGATAAATTGCCGAACTACACATACTAAGATATATAATTGACTACGGAGCCATCATTGGACAATCAAGAACAAAATTAACATATATATTCAATAAACTTCAACTCATGAGAATTGAAATAATATCTATTATGAATTAAATGTCTTTTGAGTTTATAAAATGGCGCAAAACAAAATCGATGTTTATTTAAAAAAATGCGAAAACATCGGATTTAAATCCGAGTGTTATGTGTACTTCAAAAAGTGAACAGGTATATTCACTTTGTTTTTTATCATCTGAGACATATCTAGGCAATTTGCTTTTTGCATGCAGTTTTTTGTGCATTTTGAGACCTTTTTCAGGCGATGTTTTGTTAGAAAGCTACGATTTGGTTCAAAACTAATATCAGATTCGGAATCAGCGTTAAAAACTGAGTCGATTTATATATGTTG